AGATTACCACTATAATAATGTAGTCAATTTTCAAGCTAAAACAGAAGATTAAATTAGCTCCTTGGCTGCTGAGATAAAGGAACATGTTCTTCATCACACGTGGTCTCCTAAGGAGGTTTCGTGGGAGATTGTCGTGCATCATTTTCAATATTATATGAATGATAGATTCAGATCTTATAATACTAAAGATTAAGTGTGAGGGAAGGGTATTGTTATATAATATTGCGGTTGTTGATCTGATCATCTATTCATTTATAAATACTCACCAAACTGATCCAAGCTGCCATCGATCTGTTCTTATGTCATCAGCACATGGACAATGCTTACCCTGGGTCAAATATTCTTGTTGTAACGTTGACGAATGGAGAATCAAAACGTGTTGAAGCTCAATCAGATCAAGAGACATTGAAAGAAGCAATGGAGGTGCTAAGAAACATGTTTGGGCCTGACATTCCGGATGCCATTGACATACTAGTGCCTCGCTGGTGGAATAATCGCTTCCAGTGTGGCAGCTACAGCAATTACCCCATCTATGTGAATCATCAAATTGTTGATGACATTAAGGTGAGCATCTTGTCCCATATTCACGACTTCCAATTCTTGACACAATGCTAATGGTGTTTGATAATGTTGCAAAGATCACCAAATGTAAAAATATTGACTGCTATTATATAGTGTTTCCATCATCATCTCAAGCAAACTGCGGAGCCCTAGTACATTATGAAAATGGCTTCCCGTAAATTAACATTTGAATGTGCTCATATGTGAAAAAAGATACACAGACTTGTAAAAATAACCCCATAAGGTTGAATGCGATTAATTCTGTTTTGATCCCACATTCTAAATCTTGCACCTCAAGATTGCGTGTCTTTAAACTTCAATGCTTGCAATGTGAAGTGCAAAAAGCAAATCGCAAGAATTTTGGATCCTAGACATTCTAAATATGAAATATTGCCGTGCTCAATTAGAATATTTATGTTAGTGTAACATTCTGATCTTTTGTGTTTTATTTGGTCAGGCACCTGTAGGACGGATTTTCTTCACTGGAGAACATACAAGTGAAAGATTTAATGGCTACGTCCATGGTGGATACCTTGCAGGTGAGCAATCTAGGTCTTTAATAGTGATCTTAGAGAATAATTCAACTCCCTTAATACAAATATGGTTACTGATATCCTTCTCATTACATTATTGATTTTGAACAGGTATCGACACTAGCAAAGCTTTATTGGAAGAAATGAGGAAGGAGAAGGAAAGAAAAACAGAGAGCCAAACTTTTCTACTAGAGCCTTTGTTAGCGTTAACTGGATCATTAACATTGACACAAACAGATGCAGTGTCAGGTCTCCACAAATGTGAAATTCCTAGACAATTGTTCCTAAGTAGTAACAAGCTTGGCCTTTCAGAGGCCATCTTATGACTAGATGGACCTGTGGGCGAACCTGACTTAGGCAATGAGAAGATTCTAACACATGGGAACGAGAATCTGATGGGCTCGGATGGCAATACAGTTCGAACCCTGGATCCGTTCTATGACGCAGAATAAAAAAGACATCATTACAAGACCGGTACAGCTTTATGGAGCTATCAACCAGAGGAATTGCCGGAGTAATCATGGAGGTGATTTGAGGTATGATTGTGTAAGCTTTTTCCTTATTTCTTTTCTCTTTTTGTCTTAAACCTTGAAGTTCTTAAGTATCTTCCCTATGATCTCTCAACGATCAGCTTGAGTACTTTGCTTAAGCTTTTTTACGGTTATCAAAATATACTTTAGATAGGAGTGATTGATGTGGATTGTTGTCAATTATCAAACAATACTTTAAAATACTTACGATTTATCTTTTTCTTTGGTAATTGTTTGTGGGGAGAGAGGGAGGAGATAGAATTAAGTTTGGTCTTTCCTATAATTGCTTGACTTGTCATCATTTAGGGTATGTGACTCCTCTGTTACAAATTACTTCGTTACAGTTTTTTGTGTTTTCAAATCTTCATGTTGTTTAACTGATGTGTATGAGGTTAAATATTTACTATTGGTTGTAGTACATTAAGACAGTGGAGGAGTCAACAACTTCTTGAACTTTGGGAGGCTTAGAAGGCAGCAATCTAAGCAGTGGTGAAGTTGTCTTTAGGTAAGCTTTTTATAGATGAACATTATTTTCCTCGATTTGAGGTATGACTGTATTAGCTTTTTTGTTGTCTTTTTTTGTCTTGAACCTTGAACTTCTTAAATATCTTTCCAATGATCTCAACGATCAACTTATGTCCTTTGCTTAAGATTTCTGACCATTATCAAACTATGCTTTGGGTAGGAATGACTGATGTGACTTGTTGTCATTCGTAATACAAGTTCTAATGACACAACTTTAGATTTTTTGAAAGGGAGAACATGTGTGCATACTTTCGTTGGGCATGCAGATTTGTTTTTTTTCATGTCTATGTGACCATTTCTTTAGCATATATTTTAGTGCATATGATAGTTTCTATTTAAAATGCTTAAGATTTTTATTTTTCCTTAATAATTGTTTATTAGTCTATTGGGGGAGTGGGGGTTTGATAAAAATATAGTTTGGCCTTTCCTATAACCTATGGGTCATCATTTAAGGTATGTGACTCCTTTGTTATCAATTATTTCCTTACAATTTTTTGTTCCTTAAAATTTTCATACCATTTAACTGTTTTGTCACGAGGTTAGATATTCCCTGTTGATTGCAGTACATTAAGATGGTGGAGGAGAGACCAATATGTCGAACTTTGGGAGGCTTACAACTTACAAGGCAATAATCTAAAGCATTTAGGAAGTTTTCTTGCATGTCTACTTGAATGTTATTTTTTTCATATATTTTAGTGCATATGGTAGTTTCTACTTAAAATGCTTATGATTTATATTTTTTCGTA